TATAAGGGAGAATCAACTTTATAAACCGAACAGGTATGCCATCCTCACCAACTGCGTTAGATTTAATTTTGAAGACGCATTTAGCCACATCCGACTCAGTAACAGCTGAGAACACGAAAGGAACACCAGAATAAATTGCAGTACTACAAGGGGTAAATTTAGATAGGGGAACAATAGACGATACACTGCTAAGAAAAGCATCGTTCATGCTATCCACATCTAATGTGCATTCTGATTTGTCTTTGGCCCAGACTCGGAGATTTTTGATATTGCGCCATAAAGTTCCGGAGGACAGAGAGGGGTCAAGCTTGGAATGAAAATACCTCTTCTTTTCACACCTTACAATTTGCGTAGCATTGTTTCTTGCTGTGCGAAAGATGTCCCAATTAGTTTTACTACTATTTGATTTCCAAGCACGATATGCTTTACTGCGGGCTTTAATAGCTCTTCGAACTTTAAGGTTGAACCAAGGACACGAATTAGTTTTGCCATATCGAATTGGAATATGAGCATCGAAGGTGGACAGTAGGTTGTAATTAAGGAACTCTATTTTTTCATTAACGGTCGGAAGATACCAACAGCTACGCCAATCGATGCTGTCTAGATCCAAGAAGAGAGCATTTGTGTCACATGAACGAAAATCTCGAAACGTATAAATCTGCTCAGAGGAAGAACAGCTAAATTTAATATCAAGCGCACAAAAAATTAGATCGTGGTCAGATATAAATGAAATTTGGTCAAATTTTAAGACAGATGAATCGTCAGACACGATAAAATAGTCCAGAAGACTGGGTTTACAATTATTACCGTACCTCGTCGGCACTGAATTATTAACAATCGAGAGACCGGAAGTCGCAACATTATCTAACAGAGAACAACACAGAGAGTCACAAGCAAGAATATTAATATTGAAATCGCCACATATAATAATATTTTCGTAGTCTACTACGAAAGAAGAAAGGGATGCAAAAAACGGATTAAGGGATACATATTTGTTTGGGTTATATACACACGAGATAAGAGCCTTATTAAAACGGTCAGACAATTCGACGAACAAAAACTCCACGCCCCCATCGTTCGACTGACAGATTGTGCGCATGCTAATGTGGTTCTTGCAGTAAATAGCAACGCCACCGCCTTTTTTACCGACCCTGTCATTGCGCACTAACTTATAGCTATTAATGTTATAGTAAGCATCACACACATCACTGACAAACCAAGTTTCGGATATACATATAACGTCAACACCTGAGGACTGGAAAACATGTCTCACATAATCCATTTTTAAATTGTTCAGGCTCCGCGCATTAAAGTGAACCACCCTAAGACCACTCTGCTGGGAACATAGAATATTTAACATAGCAATACTGTTGTCATTAACGCTATTAGTTTTGCTACTCAGAGACAACATGCAAGCAGCAAACAAAAGCAACCTTTAATGGAAAACAACAACCATCAAATATACGTTTACGGCACAAAACAGAAAGATGAACCAACTTTACATAGTTTACAATAACATTTAAACAAGGCATATAAGAAGATAACATAAATAAGAGTTGCAAAGAGTACAGCGTATCAATATACAAGTTTAAGATCATCAAGCTTGTCAATTTTTATTCCCGAAGAGTCTTTAGAAGTCTTAATGAATACGTCTCCACGCAATGTGAATGCGGAGGCCAATTTACCCGCTCTTCTTAGTCGAATTGCTTCTTGCAAGATCTTTCTCTTATTCGAGCTCAAACTCTCGAAGATAGAGAAATTACCTTCAAGCCCCACAGCAGCTAATGAAATAAGAGATTTTGTACGCCTACGATATTCGCCAAAAGCATGAAGAGTACGATTCCGATCATGCGAAGAGTAGAATTTAACGATAATCGCACTATTAGGGCTGTTGTTGGTTGGCCTGGAGCGAAAGATGTCACGTATCTGCGGCACCAAGAAATCAATAGAGAGGCATATGTGGTTAAATATACTCTTTAGGTTTTCTCCTTCAGAAAACGGTAATCCAAATACAACAGCGGCAGTAGATTCCTCAGGGGTATAGGAGTTTACTCTCTCTAGTTGTGCACGCAAACTCTGCACCTCACTATCAAGCAGCTCTTGCCTACTTTCTAAAGCAGATATACGTTCAGCAGATTCTGTTAGTTTGATGGAGAGCACAGAAATCTCCGTATCAATTTTATTGCAAAGAGCACGCTCCGCTTCCGCAATTTTGTTAGAGAGACCTTCAAACAAAGATTGGAGTGTATCGGATTGACGTTGTACCTTTTGCTCAAGCTCTCTAAGTGCAGTTAGGATAGATGGTAGAGCTGCACTCTCATCCAGTTTCGCTGCTTTCGAAATTGGAGAATCTTTGCTCAAGCGACGTTTAGCAGCAGCAGGAGGGGGAGACATACCTTCAAGTTCGGCAACAACAAAAGCAGTACAAGCAGTATTTTAAGCGTTTACACCTCAGCTTGAATCGAATCAAATGACAAACGGCAACAGGTATATCACCAAATTTAGTTTCACCAGAAAACGCAATACACAAATATATCATGCGCGGAAAACCACGTAGAAAATAAGAAAACGCAGAGCAAAATAAAAACACGTCTGCACTGTATAAATTTCTCTTTCTTATATACCCCAGGAACTCTACCTCTGCTCTCATAAACTTTGTTTTTGCTATGTTTGCCCTGACGTTGGCGTCTTCCAGCCTTTCGAATACTATATCGATATTTTTTCATATACTCGTCTAAATCTTTACCAAACACTATGATATCGGCAATATAGACGTAGCATGTTTTCCCAATATGTTCCTTCAAGACGTCGTCTATCATGCGCTGAAATATGGCCGGCGCATTCCTCAGCCCAAAAGGAAGTCTTAAAAATTCGTACTTCCCATTCATGGTTGAAAATGCTGTTTTCGGGATGTCAGCCTCTTTGATTCCTATTTGGTGGAACCCGGACGTAAGGTCGACGGTCGTTAAGTATTTGGCCTGGCCGAGGCTGGCTAATGTTGCGTTGAGGTCAGGGATTGGATAGGTATCGGGTATCGTGATTGTATTTAGGCGTTTAAAGTCCACTACCATCCTGTATTGCTTTTCTCCGGTCGGCTTTGGTTTTTTAGATACCACCCAAATTGGAGAATTGTAAGGGCTTTTGGATGGACGAATAATACCTTCGTCGAGTAGTACGGAAATCTGTCTGTCCACCTCTTCTCTCATATTCCCCGGGCAGGGATAGCTTTTGGCGTATATAGGATCTTCTGTGGTAGTTTTTATTTCGGCCCTGACAGACGTTCTAATGTTAATTTTTTCGCTCAAAGGCTCAAAGAGATGTGAATATTTTTTAAGTAGAGATTTCAGAGCGGGCAGCACTGCCTCCGGGGTCGATACCTCAGAAAAATTAATACCCCAACGGTCTTATTCTTGAGTGGAATTTTTATATCTGGATCTATTTTCAAGGTATGATTTTTTCTATCTATCACAGCCCCCAATTATTTCAGGGTATCGTCGC